CCCTCAGCAAGGTATAACCTATCTACAGGGTGCGGCAAAAGTTCCCGTACTTTTCTTAAGCATAAAATTTATTTCAAATATTTTCTTAAATTTTATAAAATCTATGAAAAAGTGTCCATTACTATCTAAAGAAACGAAAAATTATAACAAATCTTCAAAATATCCTCCCTCCACCAAGATACACGCGTTCAAATGCTTACTGCTCTTGCTCACTATGGTCGCGCAATCAACCACAGTAATTGAGTCCCAGCCCTGTTGTAATCCCCCTTAATTGCCTAAGTTTATGTAAATCGTATCCGTGAAAGTCTCTGCTTCAATCATGACCAAACTGTGTGTCCATAGCATTCAGATCTGTGGAGTTACTTGGCCAAATGTCTTTGCCCCAAAATCCTGAAAACAACCCTTCGCGAAGGTCAATCCTTGTTTTAGCCCAGTATGAAGGGGCCCAATTTTGCTGCAACATAAAATTGGTTTCACCGAAGTGTTGCTGTGCCCAGGGGAAGTGTTGCTGTGCCCCTGTGCCCAGGGACTAAGGATTAAAAGAATAAAAAAATTTATTTTAATTATTTTTCAGAATTAACTGATGAACAAGTTAATGATTTATTAGGAAAAATTAAAATGAATGAAAAATTTGAAAAATACCAAGAAAAATATCAATCAGATTTTAATGAAGAAACATTTAAAGCAATAGTTAAAGAAAATGGAGGTTGTGGGGAAATAAAAATAGCAGCTTATAAATTATTTAAGGTAAATAAAATAATTTCTGTTCTGAAAATTTTATACCTGATTTGAAAAAATATACCCGCGTTGAGGGTAAGGGAATTCCCGAAAGAACTTAGGAGGTTCCTTCTTATACAGTGCTGTTCAAAATTATAAGCGCACTTGAAAACATTGAATAACTCGGGGCTTAGTTATCCAAATATTATCAAGTTCCAAAAATATCTGCCCACGTTTCGAATTCCCCGCATTTCCCGTCCCTTGCCACTTATCCCGCGGGATTCGAGAGCTAAAAAAATAAAATAAGTGACTGTTCCTATCTGACTTACAAACTAAATGAAATATTGGATTACCGAATTATGACTAGAGTGAGAGATGTGTGTTGATAAGTAATTGCTATGAAACTTAATTACATAGATCCGTGCTTCGAAATTTCAAATCTAATCGTACTCATAAAAGGTACCAGGGTTGCCGCCCGAAACCCGAAACCCGAAACCCGGCCTTTTTTTGTACCCGAAACCCGATACCCGAAAAGAAAATTTTCCAACCCGAAACCCGAAACCCGTACCCGATATTTTTTCCAACCCGAAACCCGTGACCCGAAATTGGTTAAAACCCGAAATTTCTACCCGAAAATTTAGCCTTACCCGATCTTTTAAAATAAATTTAAAAAATTATAGAAAGAGAAAGAAGGAAAATAAAAGGAAATATTTATAACTTTTTCAACATTTTTAATTATGTGATCGGTGGTTGAATGGGTTAGGTGCTGCCTCGATATTTTCACAGGTGTGGGTTCGAGTCCAGTGCTGAAAAAATGCTTTAAAAATTTTTCTTTTCGGAAATAAATGTTTTTTAAACTTCGATTTTCATTTTAGATTTTTAAATTTATTTTTTTAAATGTTTTAAGCTTGAAAAAGCATTAAAAATTTTAATTTAGTCATCAATTTTGCAAAATTTTCGCCTCCGGCGGTGAAAAAAAGGAAAAAATATGACTGTTGGCCTTTGAAATTTCTCAAAATTTTCGCCTGCGGCGCAAAAATGGAGGAGATTTGGCTTCTTGGTCTTCCAAAAATCTCAAAATTTTCGCCTGCGGCGCAAAAAATGGAAGAAATTTTGAGGCTTTAATGGAGATAAAGCGGAGGAATATTACTATATAGTGGGATTTTATTAGGGTGGGATTTTACCAAGATATCCCTCTTAATCCCCAAATCCCACAATGTCTCTTTAATCTCTTCAAATTTGCCTCTCTATATCACCCAAAATCTTATTATGCAACATAGCTTATCTCCTTACAATTTAGCTCACCAATATCCGAACACCCGAAAATAAACCGAATTTTTCGCCAAACCCGAAACCCGTACCCGAAATTTTTGCCAACCCGAAACCCGTGACCCGAAATGAAAATTTTATAACCCGAAACCCGTACCCGATATTTTTGCCAACCCGAAACCCGATACCCGAAATGAAAACGCTCCAACCCGATACCCGAAACCCGTACCCGAAGATTTTTTGTACCCGCGGCAACCCTGAAAGGTACAAAACCTTTACTAATTTAAGTACGAGTTTAGAAGTGGTGAAGAAAAATGAGGAATGTATTTTAATTAATTTCAGAATTCGCCAAAAGTTGGTGTTTTTCATGCAGGAGTATATGTTTGTGGAATTGGTTATTATTAAATTTAAATATTAAAAATGTTATTTTTTAATAATTTTTTAGAAATACATTTTCATCGTCCAGGATTGGAATATTGGGTACCAAAACATTTTCATACAAAATTTGCTGGCGGACATTTTAAGTATTTACTTACCGTATTTCCTCTATTAGGAGAATTCCATCTTCTATTTTTTTTCCACTATATTCAATACAAAACGATTTTATCGAATATTCAATATTTTTAGACGAATCATTTTGCTTTACGCCCACCTAGTATGCCCAACGAGATCGAAATCGTTGTAGATACCATTCGATTCGTCACGCCGAGCTGAATTCACATAAGCAATAATTTTCTGCGGGAGACGAAAACTCGCAATGATACAGGCAATGGGGCTAGATTTTGGGTAAAAATTCGAATATTCAAATGATATCTGATTCGAAAGAGCTAGTCGAGATGAAGCTTGGCCATGCCCGGCCTACTCTTCGGAGCAGCACAAAAATAGTTTTTCCAGCGAAGATAAAAAAACATTATCCCACTTGCCGTTGGTTAACAACACGTTGGGAAGGGATTGAAAAGTAGAATGCCATGGCATTCTATTTAATTAGAGGAATTACGGAATAAATGTTTAATTAACTCTATAATTTAAATTTTTCAAAGAGAATATGATGAGATATCTATAAAAAATGAACATGGAGAAAGTCGAAATGCTCAAACAAATTTGTCGTTTGCTGAAATTGTTGAAGTAATTGATAAGAACTTTGCAGAAGATTACACAAAAAAAACATACAATGTTATTACTAACAATTGCCTTAAATTTGCTAGAAAATTAATTTCAAAAATTGCTGGTAATTTAATTTAAAAAAATTTTTTTTGAAATAATTTATAATTTAAAAGATAAAGAAGAAAACGAACGCATTGTTTGGCCAACTTCTGTTATATTTCCTTTAGAGAAACCTTTTAAAAAGGGAATGAAAATGGCCAAAAAGTTGATAAAGAAATAGTCGAAGAAAAATTAAGAAGAAAAAGAGGTACTTTTCGGTTATGAGGTCACACTTTTTAAAAAGTTTAAAAATGGTAAATATATCATATATAGGGTAGAAAAAGGTGCCGAGTCGAACGGTACCAATCTTTTTTCACGGAGATTCTTGTGGACCGAGATATAGGGCTCGAAATGGTCAAAAACCATAGGCTCCATAGGTTTGCGTTGACCATTTTGAGCCTGTTCATCTGCTCTCAGAATCAAGATTTCGAACTGATTTTGGTGTCATTCGACTCAGCTCGAGGAACTCTTTCGAATGAGCTATCATTCAAAAAATTTAATTTTTCACACCAAAAATGAGCTTACTACTCCCTATGGTTTTTGACCATTTCGAGCCCTATATCTCGGTCCACAAGAATCTCCGTGAAAAAAGATTGGTACCGTTCGACTCAATATATTGACCATTTTGAGAACTTTTTAAAAGTGTGACCTCATAACCGAAAAGTACCGAAAAAGATATTGAAAACATTTTGATTTTATGTTCCAAAAAATTTTTGAAAAGTGCACGTTCATTTTAAAAAATCAAATTTTCGGCCCTATACGGAAATAAGGGCTGAATCGTTTTTATCTATACGATTTTTCCTTCCATAAAATGTTCAATTTTTCTTTGAGTTTCAAGGGTGATCTTCTCATACTTTTAGCACCGCAGAGCAAATTTTTAAAATTTTGGATGATCAACAAGTAATATTTCTTCCATTGTTTGCCCCCGATTAGGTTTATACTGGGACCGTTATTTCCCCTAATCTTCAAAATGTCTGAAAATTATAGCTAATTTTTAAAAAGTCAAGAAAACTATCATAAATTTCAGAACTTCGGGGAAATAACTAACAAAAAGTCCCAAACCAAGTTGGCATAAGTCCCGATCACGAAGAATGTTATGGAACTATACCATTAAACAGAAAGGAAAGTTGATTTTTTAAAATGAATGTACAAATGTACATTTGCCCGTCCAAGTGTACATTTGATCAAACATTCCATTTGAAAGTATTACACATACACACATTTATGTTTGTTTCTAAAACAAATTCTTTTTATTATTTTTTTAAATCCAATTTTTTCAACTAGATATGCATAAAAATTTAGTTATTAGTAAGGTGCGAAATTATATAAAAATCCATATTTTTTCATGAATTGCTTAGGTTCTGAAACTCACGAAAAACACACTTTCCGTAATGGTTGCTTTCAAAAATGTGGACTTACATATTCTTCCATATTTCGCCATTTTTAAGAGAAAACTAGAATAACTACAATGCAAAAATAGTGTATTATTGGGCTATAATTAGGCATTCTATGTAGTGTAAGGATGGCGGTTCCTGGGAAATCTCCGGATACCCGGAACCGATATCCGAACAGAAAATTTTGGATATCCGGAACTGGAATCTGGAACCGAATATCCGAACCGAAGATTTCCGGATATGCGAGATTTTTTCGGTTCCGGATACCCGGAACCGCCAACCCTATTCTAGTGTGACATAAAGAAGAAAACAGATTTACTATCTTTTTAAGCAAATATGAATCATTGTATAGTTATTGAAGTTTTCCAAATATATTCAAATATTAAATAAAAAAATATATATTATGTAAAAATATTTTTAAATTTCCAAAGAAACACTTTGTCTCCCCCCACAATTCTTAAATTCTTCTTTCGCACTTTTATCACAATAATTAATTTGTTTTTCATTTTTTGAGGATGATTTAGCAATAACACAGCCATTTTGGCCTAGAGAGAAATTGCTTCTACGCAGCTTTCTGACAAATAAATAATAGCCTTGAAATTAAAAAGAATTTTTTCAGAAATTTAAAATTAATTTTTACCATCCCTCACAGCGCTAAACATTAATTCCACAAGTTGGGCCCATGCCTCAAAAGTGTCTGTTGGCTATAAATTTAATTTTGATTTATTTGTACAGGATATTTTTAATATTTTATTGATGTAAAAGCATTTTAAATTTCAATGAATACAATTCAGATCATTCAATCATTCAAAAATCAGAATAAATACAAAAATAAAACGTGTAAAAATTACAAAACAGAATTGGGGGGTTTATTTCCTTCTGATTTCTTCAGCCTTTAAAATAAACAATACAAACAAATTAAATACCATAAATCAGAATAAACAAAAAATACAAAATAATTAAAAATCAGAATAACGAAATAAAAATAACACAAACACACGACCTGAATAAATAAAGATTCATAAATACGCAATTGACTATGCTAAAGACTTTGGGTATACTGCTTTTAAACAGACAAGTAAGAACAAACGAAAATATCAAAATAATAAGGACTTTTAGAGTATTACTTAACTCTATTCAAAAATACGAATAAAATAATTATTAATGCCATTAATAATCGAAAAATAATTGTATATAAATAAAACAATAAATGTATTTTTACATATTATGAAAAATCAGAATAAATAAAAATTAGAATAAACAGAAAATAATTCATTTAAAATCAGAAAAGACGGCTCTATCTTAGGACATGCGTCCCATGAACATTTATGCGTCCCATAAACAAAAAATTGGATTTTTCTTGGTGTTGCAAAGTTGAGGCATGGTTCCAAAGCATTTCTTCATGTTCGGGACCTACGCCCACTGGATCTGGGACCGTTCCTTACCCTATCCATCGAAATTTCTGAAAGTTAAAATCGTTTTTCTGAAATTTTTAAAAATGGCTATAACTTTCAGAAATTTCGAGAGATAGGGCAAGAAACGGTCCCAGACCCAGTGGGCGTAGGTGCCGAACATGAAGAAATGCTTTGGAACCATACCTCAACTTTGCAACACCAAGAAAAATACAATTTTTTGTTTATGGGACGCATAAATGTTCATGGGACGCATGTCCTAAGATAGAGCCGAAAAGACAACCTACAATCCACTATTTTTGTATTTTTAAATTAAAAGTTTAAACAATTACAGAATGTGCAGCGCCATCCAGAAAAACACATTCAGTGGTTAACGAGCTAGCCATCTCCGCAAAGAAATCAGCCTTAAAACCAAAAGGGCGTCGAGCGACTTGTTCAGCGCCAAATTGCATCGAGAGGCGTCTTATCTAAAAATTATTAATTAATTGTCAATCTAAAAATGTCAGAAAAAATTGGTTATAATCTTTAAAAGCTGTCGTTCTCCATTTTGCTAATATCACGTCAGATTAATTTGTTTATGTTTTTAGGGAGTCATTTAAAATCTCCCTATTCAAAAATATAAATGTGCCTACGTTGTCAAAATTTGTATAAAACTAGTTTGTTTAATTCTTATTTAATCAAATTTTTTATCGAATTTTATATATTAAGTAAATTACATTATAATTTAAAAATATTTTTAACAAGTACCTTTTCTGTATTAGCCAAATTACTCAAAACATCAGTCAAATAATTTCTGAATTGGTCAGCTAGTCTAGTCCAATTTTCCTCTCCAAGATTAACACAAAAAGTAGCAAAATCTGCCCGGTTGTGAACCATTCGATTTAAAACTCGGCTGGAAGGATCTACACGTGATTTTTCGATGCAAGAAAGAATCTAGAAAATTTAATGATTAAAACAAGATAAAAATTAAATTTTTTGTCAGCTGATTGAGGATTGAATAAAGTTAAATTTATTCGAGTAAAAAATAAATTTTTCAATGTCTATATAATGCTCTACTCAATATGCAAAAATATTGTTTTATTTACATAAAAAGTTTGTACAGTCACTACTCTTTCATTCCTATTGTTAATGTATAAATTTTTGTAAGAGAGATATCAAAAACTCCCTGAAAGTCTTATGCTCAAATTTGTCTTTTTACTTTTTTATAAATGCTGTGTAAAAAAGATTAAACTGCTTAGTTCAACATAAGATTAAGAAAATTATATAGCAAAAATGGAAAGTTAAAATTAACCCGTTTTTATAACCACTAATAACAAAATTTCCTTAGTAACCGTTAAATTTCTTACAATTTGTTGCGCCTGATTTGAAATTCGCTTCCCGGTCATATTCATTGAATCGCTCTTAAAAATTTTTTTTACGTTTAGACAAGAACATTCGGACCTCATTAAATGACACCTTCAAACGGGTAAAAATTGTAATTTTTTGAAATTGTAACCAGATTTTTTTGTAACCTATTTTCAGTAACATAAACTATTCCTATCTCCCTTGCCCTGCACGTATCTGGGCTCACCCATTTGATTTAGATCAGTACTCAGATCGACAAACGCTAATCAAAAGTACAAAAATCTTGATTTCAAAGTATAATACATAGGGATAAAATTTCTAAATTTAAAGTACAACAAAATTAAATTAGAACATATTTATTCGTGCTCAAATCTTTTATTTTCTCTCCTAAATGAATTTTTCTAATAATTTCTTGTTTCTACTGAGCATTCTATGCATTTCGATGCACTTTTTTGTGGCGCCGAAGGTGCCACAAAAAAAGTTTTTTAAATCCAAAATTGCGCCGCAGGCGAAAATTTTGAGAATTTTGGAGGTCCTAAGGCCAGATTTCCTCCATTTTTCCAAAATGTCGATTTTAAAGTACATACTTTAAAATAAAGTACGAATCCGAGCCCTTTTTTTCACAATCATTTCTAAAGTAGTGAGTAGTACCGTTCGACTACACTAAATCCTGAAGCAACTTAAAATATGTTATAATCTTGACCGTAGTTTATAATGTACCTAAAGTCTGTTACTTGAATTGAGGTTTAAGAAGTCAAGACTTCCTATTCAAAAATACTTATCTTGCTAAGTTTGTATGTTGAAGTTAACATAATTTCCGTATACTTAATTAGAATGATAATTGCTCTTCGCGATATGGAGTAAAATATACTACTCACAAAATATAATGAGAAGTGTGAATATAATACTTAGAGGTGTATCTTATAGTATCTCTCTTACTTATAGGTGTACTCTCGAGTTCAGTATTGAATGTATCTTATAATGAGGCCTGATTGTAAAACAAAAAATATAACAAACAGTACCACTTCACTAGCCGAATCAGACAATTTTCGTTTAACAAAATTGTGTTGTCCACTACTTTTAGGAACAGCCAAATGTGAAGGAGAAGGATTTCCACTACTTTTAGGTGTCAAATAAATATTCTTTTTGTCGTTATTTAAATTAATAGAATGTCTGCTGACAGATTCAGATCGACCCATTAATCCGGCAGAACGAGAAGGTGAAGAAGCCATTGAAGAATTTGTAATTGTTGTTGATAAGGTTTCGGAATTGCCAAGGGAACGAGACTATTTTTGGAAAATAAAGAGAATTATAGTCTTTTTAATTTTAAAAGTATTTTAATTTTTTTAAGGATTTGGGCTAAAAATAGTATTTTATGCAAGTTGCGAGATAATATTACTGAAAATAAATTTGTCATATTAATGATGTCAAGTACAGAGTGGCTCGGCCTAGAAAGATAGGAGCTTGTTGGATCTTGAAATTCTGGCTTATTAGAGTTAGGCGAAATTTACAGGGGCTTTGTAAACTCTTACAGGACTAAGAGTTTAGCAAAGGGGCAGCCAACAGGCATACTTCGAACCTGCGATAAAATTGTTCGCTTGAACTCACTTACACCTATGCCTGTGCACACAACAGCCTACAACTCTCATTCAAAAAGTTTTAAATGTTGCTGGATGGATCAACATTATAAAGGATTAACCCTTTGGAATAATCAAGAAAGTAGGCATTTGATCATAAAAGTAAATTTATCAAAATTACTTAATATGTAAAAATACAATTATTTTTTTATTTATGTATATTACTTTCTTTAGCAAAGATATTCCAATTTATTTTAGTACTTATATTTTTGTATAGAGAGATTGTGTAACTCTCTAAGGATTGTATCAAAGGGATGATCTGATAAAAAAAAATCATGAGAGCCTATCAAAATTTTTCAAGGAATGGAATGCCGTTTCATAAAAATACCGTGGACTTCAAATTCGAAAAGGTCGATCAAAAAAAATTTTTTTTCCCCGATCAAAAAAAAAATAAAAGATTCTCATATTCGGAACTGACTCAAGGAACCAAATTGAAAAATTAAAGAGCTTTCAGTTTTCGAACCAAAACCCTAATTCGATTTATAAGTGCAAATAAAATGAAACTGCGAAATTAAAAAATAAGTTTTTGCTCAAGTTTTAATTAATTAAAAATTTTGATTAATTAAAAATTCATAAAAATCTTACTTTCCCACCAGTCTGTTTAAATGCCTTTCTTTTTTCCTTAGCTTCCTCAGCTTTTACTATACGCTTCAGTGTGGGAGAAAATGGTGAGGAAGAGTGTTGATTAATTATTCCTTTGGAATTTTATAATAATAAATTTTTGCTAAAAAATCCCCTACCATTTTTATTTGAATTTGTGTTTATTGAGAGCATGTTGATGTTATCTGTAAAACGAGGGGAAAAGTGAAAAGGAATAAGATAATACATTATTGTAATCATTTGCGGACAGTTATTTTAGGGCACAGATTTTAGGCATATAGCATATTTTGCACGTATTTATGCACAGAATCTTAATATTCTACGACAAACTAATAATTTGTTTGTCCATTCCATTATGTGCTGCTTAAGAATAACTTAAGGATATAAATAGATAACTCCAATTAATTTCCAAATTGGAAAAGAAATTTATTAACCCAGTACGCAAATTGTTAAATGTCCGCAATGGAAACGATTCCTTTCCATAATAGTTCTATTCAGCTCCCATCAAATGAATGAATTTTTCCATAGAATGAACATAAAATACACCCATCTCCAGTGGAAAATATTTAATTTTTATTTTTAAAATTTTACCAATTAAATTATTTTCCATTAAAGAAGTCATTGACGCAATATTTATTGAAAATAATTTTATTTTAATATTTTCTGAAAAAAAATTTTTTTAGAAAAAAATAAATAAAATCCAAATGCAATGCTGCTTTTGGACATAAAGTAATAAAAAAACTTGTTCAAAAGAAAATTAAATTATTTTTACGAAATATATATCTTTTTTGAAAGATTTTATGGGAATAAAAAAAAGTATAGGTAAAAGTAAAATTCATGATTAGTGAGAAATTACTTAATATATGAAAATACAATAACTATTATAATTAAATATGTATAAAGAAAAATTTTCTTTAGTGAGGCCGACGTCGACGAGGTATTATATTTTTGGATGGAGAGTTAATGTGCTCTCTAAAGTTTTTGTTCATAGCTTGATAAATTCTGCGTAATGCTATGCTTACATAAAAACGATGAGCGTTTTCCGCCTAAAATAGTATGTAAAATTGAGATAGAAATAACGCCGGCGTTTTTTCCGCAAATTGAGAGTGCTTATTTAAAAATTCGTTTTAGCTGCGGAAAAACGTTAGCTTTTTTGCGCAGTTTGAGTGCTTACATAACTTGCGTTTTCCGCCTAGCGGAAAAACGCATTGCGGAAAACGCCGATTTTATGTAAGCATAAAACAGCGTTTTCTGCCAGCGTTTTTTATGTAAGCGTAGCATAATACATACATACTAGTGACTCGCCGGAACTGCAAATTTGGCCGGACCCCGGCTGAAAAAAAGTTCCGGAGAGTCAACCGGATCTAAATTTATCATTCTGGGCCGGAACCGGGACTTTGTTAAAAAATTTTTAATAAAAATTTTACATTATTCTAAGTATAAATATGGTGATCAGCGATGCTTGCAAAAATTTTGAGAATTTTGTAAAGCCTTGCGCCTAATTTCGCCCATATTAAAGATGAGAAATCATCCTTAGGGGTGTTAAAAAGTTGAGGTTTAACCGTAAATGATGAACCGTAACTCCCGGCGAAGCTCTAATACATACTATAAAATTGTGTTAATTATTCTATTAAATTTGAATGGATGACCTTTCCCAAAAAATAAGATCGAATTTAAACAATAAGATTAAATAAACTTTTAATGACACTCCCTTTCATTAAATGACTATATAAAAATGAAATATGTATAACAAACACTAGAACATCTCAGACTACTTAATATATAAAAATGGAATAATAATTATATCTATGATTACTGGAATTTAATAGAAGTCCGGTTAAAAACATAATCGGAAATTTTATTTTTGGATGGAGAGTCAATCTTGACACTCCAAAATTTTAGCTAATGTGTTCGATTTAGGTAATTAACCGTGAAATAATAAACTTATTACCTTTTAATAAGCTTTTAAACTTGAAAACTCATAATTGATAATAATCATTAATCTAAAGTTTTCTAAAAGGAATAATTAATATTGTGTATTTGCTGTCGTCAATGCTTACATAAACATTAATGTGTTAATTTAATATTAAAACAAGAAAAAAATTTTCTTTTCTTGTTAGGCATGCTTTCCAAGAGTTTATAAAAAATAACAGAAAAATGAAGTGTACTTTGAATGGATGTACTTTTTATTTAATTTAATTTTTGGATGTCTAGGAGGAAAAAAAGGTATTAGAGAGACTAGTATTTACTTTTAATTTAATATTTCCTTTCCTTCCTTTTTTTCTAAAATTGAATTAAATTGTTTTTTGAACAATACAAGGCTAATTAATGGCGTAAATGTTTTTTGCTTTTATTTAAAATTGTTAAGTACAAAAGTATTATTTTTGAAATAATTATATTTTTGAGAGAAGATGGCAATTAGGAAGGAAAATTTTGTAGGAAAGAAATTTTTTTTTTAAAATTTAATTTTTAAATATCATTTCCTTTGGTTATGAAATAAGAATAAAATTAAAGAAATATTTTTAGTAATTTTGAAATAAAAGCATCGGGTCAGTGATCTGCCCTTTTATTTTGGCTTTTGTATAAATTCAACAAAAGTCACATAGACAAAAGTATATAAAAACTGTGAAAGACGAAAATGTTAAAGTTAATTCAAAAAACGTAGAAAATAGGGTTGTTGGCGACCGGTTAAAAACCGGTACCCTCGGTTTTCGGTTTTGGCCGGTTTACGACCCCCGGTTTTCGGTTTCGGTTTTCGATTGACCCCCGGTTTTTGGTAAACCGAAACCGGTTTATGCCTAAATTTTGCCATACAACATATTCAATTCATATTTTATCCGATTATTATGCTCATTGTAATATTCTACAGATCAGCCAACGAAAATTTTGTTATTTAGAGCCTCAAGTGAAAATACAGTGTGGGTATTGGCCATTTATTAGATCCGGCTCCTACGGCAAATAGTTTTGGGATGTAAGAAAAATAAGAAAAAAGTGGTCACACAGGCTTAACTTTTTCTGATATCCTTGCAAACCCTTTGATATCTTCGATCCAACTCCTTATAATTTTTTAAATTTTCTCGGGTCTGTATCTCCTACTCTTTGGATAGCCCCAAATCCACCTTAATCCTTGCAAATCCTAATATTTCTTTTTCAGCGCCGCAGGCAAAAATTTTGAGAAATTTGAAAGGCCAAGAAGCCAAAATTCGTCCAATTTTAGGGTTATCCTCCTAATCTTCTGCTATTCCCCCCCCCCAATATGCCCTATTTTTTTCTGCGCCGCAGGCGATAATTTTTCGAAATTTCAAAGGCAAAGGAGCCAGATTTCTTAATTTCTGCGCCGCAGGCGAAAATTTTGAGAATTATAGGACTCCACTGAAAATTTTGACTTGTTTTTTCACTTTTTTAAATATTGAAAATAAATTTCGAGTATGAAATAAAAGCTCAAGTTTAAGTTTATTAGTTTTTGGAATTAACAAAAAAAGTCAACTTTCCAACTTTGGACTCGAACCCAGTCCAATACAAGAAACAAATTAAGTGACCCCATCAAGTAACCACTCAACCAAACACAATGTTATGCACATCAGTGAAAAAACTTATTTATTGAAGGAGAAATTAGGAAAATTATTTTGGCGAAGTGTATTTTGGGAATTTAAATGCCCAAAAAATTCCCAAAAATTCCATCTTTAGGGGTGTATTTTATAAACCGAAACCGGTCGGTTTATGTCACCGGTTTTCGGTTATCGCCGGTTTTCGACCCCCGGTTTTCGGTTTCGGTTTATTGGCCAAAAACACCGGTTTTCGGTTCCGGTTTCGGTTCGGTTAACCGACCGCCAACAACCCTAGTAGAAAACATAAAAAGAGAAAAAATTATAATATAAATTTGCTTAATATATAAAAATATGTTAACAATTTTACAAAAGTTTCTTAAAATTTATAAAAAATTATAAATGGCTGAATATAATGATCAATATATTTTTGAATGGGGAGTAGTTGTTAACTCTCCAAATTTTCAGCTAACGGTAGGACTTATTTATTTAAAATTTAACACAATTTCAGATTTTCGTAGAGATATCTCATTCATAATGCAATTCAGATTCTATTCTAAATTTAATCTGTCTGGTGCCTCGTAAAGACTTCTTTTGAGTCAACAGATTAAATGCAATCTCGATAGATTGCATCGGGCAATACTAGTTCATTTGGGATTCGGAATTTTTTTCGAAAAAAATTTCCCCCCTTAATCCCTCAAAACACTTTTATGCACTAAAATAGGGCAAAAAGTTTTTTAAAATATCTACCATATTTATTCTCATTGAATGGCCGGTAATCTTGCAGAATCTGGGATCCACTTATAAAACCCTTAAAAATCATTATTTTTTTCTGAAAATCATTTTATTTAGGTAATCGACCATGCTGAGTCCGAATCTGATATCAGATTTTGTCAAATATGACATTTTATCTATGATTTTTTATCATATGCTTGATTTTAGGTCGCTTTAGTATATACCCACAGTTTTTCCAGCGAAGATTCCGTTGGTCATAACTTAGTTCAGAATCACCCAATTAAGCTGATTTTGGTGTCATTCAACTCAGCTCGTCGAGCCCTTTCGAATGAGCTATCATTTGTATATTCGAATTTTTTGACCCCAAAAATTTTCTAAGTTTGGGGGTCTATAACTCGGCCCTATGGAGTCGGATCGCTATAATTTTGGTGGCATTCGACTCAGCTCGAAAGGTTGAGTCAGATTAGCCCTAAATTTTTAATTTCGAAATTTTACCCCTCTATCCGACATGGTCGAATTCAGGTCCGGGGTTCAAAATAAACAAAATCTGATATCAGATTCGGACTCAGCATGGTCGATTACCTAAATAAAATGATTTTCAGAAAAAAATAATGATTTTTAAGGTTTTTAAAAGTGGATCCCAGATTCTGCAGGATTTCGAATGGCCGCCATTCTGTTTTTCGATACACACAAAAAGGACCCATCTCAATTGGAGAGCCCATTCAATTGGAGAGGCCAGCACTTTTATATTCTTTTTTGCCAAAAAAGGATATTCATAAAGATTATTTTTTATCATTCAAAAGGACATTCTATTGGAGATGTCATTGTATCAGAATAAATACAGTAATAATAACAGTCTTTGCAAATGCAAATTTTTAAACTTTTCTAATTTTTCCTGAGAAAATTCATTCTATTAAATAAAATTCAATCTAAATCAGGAGACTTGAAACGTTATAGAAGGCTCATTCAT